AACATCAAGTTTTTACTTTCTCAGACTGATCTAGAAGCATTCATCTCTGCCTGAACACCAGCAGTGCTCATTGTTCTGTCTCTAGTACTTAAAATCTTGAGCTGTCTGACGTCTGCTTCAGTTAACTTCCGTTTCCTGCCTCTTCCTTGGTGCATTTTATAAGCACCAGTCTCAGCTGTTGACTCCAAATCATACTTGACCACACTGTGAGAACACTTTCTGTCTTTCTCCTGTTTGTCTCAGAGACCATCCAGCATCATGAAGTGCTTTAATGCAACTCTTTCATTTTCAGTTAGCCTTTGATGTTTTTTTTTACAGTTTTGAACAGGAGTGAGGATTTTAAACTTTTTATACCCAAATCTGAGGCGGCTCACTGGGCGTCTCCGAGAAGTCAGACATGAATCAACCTCTACAACAATCTTTTCTGTTGAGGAATACAAGTAAATAACTATAATTTAACATCTTAGTCAAGAAATATTAATGTGTTTTATTAATTTTTCAGTTTTTTTGTAATTCATGGATAACAATAATAATTATATTTCAGCATTAAAAATATCATTTCAGTGAAAGAGCTTCTACATACTGGTGTATTAACCATTAGAGAACATAGAAAGAGGTTTTGGTAAATACCAGTGCTGTTAATTAAGGGTTGCTGTGGCATAAACCTGACATTGGCTGGTGGTGCAACAAACTTATATATCAGTATCTAGCATCATGCAGCTGTTATTTTAACATCTGAAAAGGTGCAGAATTGCTTCAACAAGTGGACAGTGACAGTTACTGAGACCCAGTACCGTACACGTGATGATATAATGTATATCATCCAAACACTGGTGCAAACAACAGGCTTTGAGGCGGCCATGGAGCCGTAAAGCTTCAGAAGTGGCTGACAGGATGAACCACAGTTTCAACTTAAACATGACAGATGAGCGAATCCACTGATTTGCTACGACTATCTGTTGAATCGAGATGCGACCACGAAGAGAATTAAGTCGACTGCTGCCTCTAATCCATATGGCATTAATGTTCAACCAGTGCCATTAGGTCTTTGGGCATCTGATAAGGGGGTTGTGAGTTTGTACATACATATGTGAGCCAGTGTGTGTTTGTGTGTGTGTGTGTGCTGGGGAACAGGATTTCTCTAGGAAAGGATAATGCTCTCAGTAGAGGCATTATGTATCCATTTAGCTTTTAACTTAGATTAACACACAGAGCATCCGAGCCATGTGTGTGTGTGTGTGTTTGTTTCTCATCCCCGACCGGCTAAATTGAAGCCAACATCAGAGGAAAACAGAGTGAGAGAGAGTAATGTGACCCTGTTTTTAACCTTTATTCTCTCAGGTGCTGTTAGACCAAAGAGCACTGCTGCTTCATGTCCTCCCAGTTCAACACTATCTTCACTAGAGGCTCGTGTTTTGGTTTGCTAAAATAACAGCTTCTTTGGGGAATCATTTCTGCCTTTTCTCTTTATTTAGACATGATCTAGTTTTATATGTATGTCCTGTCCACATTAATGCTGCCACCATGTCATACAAAACGGATATCACGATCAACTATCACATGTATCCCTGTGATGATGTGATTAACGAGCCTTTCTTAAACACGCTTGTGCACAATTATCTATCTTCAGAAGTGACATTTTTATTTATTTGCACTGTGAACTGAAACTTGTGAATTTGGAGTCCAGGTAACATTTATTTAACATTCAGTAGTAACACTAAAATCAGTGTCTTAAATCTACTGTGTTTCTCTACAGTAACATTCTCATGGCATATTCACTGGTTCAGATACTGGTATGCATTTGTTGGAATGAATAATAAAACGACCAGATTGTTTCAAATCTCTTGCCACTTCAAGAAATATTAAATTAAACAACTTAAATGCTGCAGGCGTTTTCTAACCGAGACGCGTGCTACATTTAAGAGTTTTAACATCTGGAATCAACATCTGGAGTCAACACTGTTATAGGTCTACTCTGTCTGAGAAGAGATGACGTCAGCAGGGGTGGAGCCAACCACAAGCTAAAGTTTGGCTAAACAATAATAGCGTCTGTTAGAGGGCGACACACTTATACACCTGGAGTAGCATCCGGTTCGTATTGTTTCTCTAGAATGGGAAATGTTTTGCACTTATGTAGCCGTTGTCTACCTTAGTCGTACTCAAAGCGCTTTACAATGTGGTTCTCATTCACCCGTTCATACACCAATGGCCACAGAGCTGCCATGCAAGGTGCTGCCTGCCATCGGGAGCAACTCTGGGTTCAGTGTCTTGCCCAAGGACTGTGGAGGGGATCGAACCACCACCGTTGTGATTAGAGGACAGTACAGTAGTCGTTCCCATACATATGCATTTTACCAGCACAGCTGTTCAAACACATACAACCAAGTAGTTCTGCCAGCTATGTTATAAAGTCTATAAAAATCTGTTTCTGTATGTAAATAATGGGCTTGTACGTGTGTATGAGTTAAATTGTGCATGATTTGAATCTAGCTGTGGATTTAGTTGAAGCTCTCGTACAGACTTTTGAAGACTGTTGGGATAAATCCTACTTTGGAAACTGGTGAACAACAGGAAACTGGCCCAGAACATGCAGACTAACAAAAGAAGCAGAAAGCTGGATGGACACAATGTGATGTCTCCACTAGGTGAACAGAACAAGGACACTTTTGACATAACAGTCTTCCATGTAGACTATTTATTTTATGTAATTTAAAATCTTATTATTTCATGAGCTTTAGCAACAATTTAAAAAACTACAATCAAGCAGTTGTTCTAGCTGCTAATCAAGAAACGGTCACAAAAAAAGCTTAATATCTTGTATTTGAGGGCTGCAAGGTGGCTCGGTGGTTAGCACCGTCGCCGGTTCACGTCCTGGTGAGGACACCCGGGATCTTTCTGCGTGGAGTCTCCATGTTCTCCCCGTGCAGCGTGGGTTCTCTCCGGGTTCTCCGGCTTCCTCCCACAGTCCAGAAACATACTGAGGTTAATTGGTGATTCTAAATTGTCCGTAGGTGTGAATGTGAGTGTGCTTGGTTGTCTGTCTCTAAGTGTAGCCCTGTGATAGACTGGTTACCTGTCCAGGTGAACCTGCCTTCACCCTGAGTCAGCTGACTCCAGCCCCCCTCGTGAGGATTAAGCGGTGTATAGATAATGGATGGATGGATGTACTTCTACGTGACAGCCTTGCATCTTTAAGCAAATGATAAAAGTGGGTGACCAAACATAGACACCCCAGTGGATCAGGGTCTCAGCCTGGAATCCACTATCCCAGTGATCCGGCTCTGCTACTGGCTGTTGCTGTTTTCTTGGATGTAGGTGTGTAAGATTTTGAAGCAACTTGACTGTGTTTTTTTCTTGCAGTACTTGCACACAGCTTTGTTGTGTTCTGTGTCATGTTTCCTGAAGCTAACTTGTGCAACAGTTTGGCTAAAACTCTAAAACTGTGAGCTCCTTGATAGGAGGGAGTGCAGAAGGCCTTCCTTATCAGCAGCAGTCAGTTGAGCTGCTCACTGGGCAGTTCTTAAGTGGGACTTTGTGTAACGAGGTGTGAAAATCATTCCTGGTTAAAACTAAAATGGAATTTTTTTCTTAGATTAGGATGGAGGAGACACCGTTTCCATGATGATGTCCGTAGTTAAGCAGAAGATTACTTTGGTACCACTTTCTGATACAGCATAATTTATAAAGTTATGATCAGCCGTGATTAATGGATGTATTTGCATCATTTCATAATCCTTTATAGATCAGCTATAAGCATTTAATAATAACTTATTTTAGGTGGCTAAATTTAGAGAGATACTGCTCTTCAAAAACAAATTCATGACAAGTTGGCTGCAGGGTATCTGGATCAAGTCAAAATCAAGTTCTAAACTGAACTGTTTTTTGCTGCACGGTGGTTGTTGGCACCGCCGCCTCACGGGATTCAGCAGGAACAGCGACACGTTGGTGAGGTGGTTAGCACTGTCGCCGCTTAGCTAGAAGGTGCTGGGTTCAAATCTTAGCCTGGGATCTTTCTGTGTAGTCTGCATGTTCTCGTTAGCTCCAGTGTGGGTTCTTGCCGTTCTGCTGGGGTTAACTGATGATTCCAAATTGTAGTCTGTAGGTGTGAATGTGAGTGGTTGTCTCTCAGTGTAGCCCTGCCTTCGCCCTGAGCCGGCTGGGATAGACCGAGGATTAAGCGGTGTATAGATGATGACAATGGATGGATGTATTTTGCTAGACGTTCATTGGAAATCAGTTAATGTCAGTAATATTTATTGCTGCAAATGTGATACCAAAAACCCAACATAGGCCGATGCATCAGTCATGTACAAACACTTATAACTGCTTTATTCCTGACCAGAAAACACACTGTGTTACAAGTCTTTATGTAAATAGCACAATTGCAAAGCTATCTTCTTAACTTATTGAGCTAATTTAATAATTTTTTTTTTTTTAAAACCCCACATATTTCCCATTTACCTACTTACCTACAATTTTAAGTTTTGCATGCAAATCAGCAGCTAGTCAGAGTCAATTTATAAAGCAGTAAATGGACATATTTAAATATATTTGACTGTAAAATCTGCTCCTAGAAGACATGTGATCAAACAGTCCATTAGAGGATCACTGTAAATCATTAAAGAGTTTAAAAGAAACAAGCAAAGAGTCATGATGAGAGATTAAGGACCACAACTGGGCAACCCAAAAGTTCTTTAATGGCCTTTAACTATTACATAAAGAATTTGTAGAATTGTTTATGAACAATGAATAAAACTATTTATTTACAACTTACTAACCTTTTATAAACGGTGCTTTATCTGAAAGTGTTCCTGTGATGTGATTACTGTCTGTGAACAAACACATGTAAGATCACTGAAGCAGCCAAGAGAAGGAAGTCAATCATCATCAGCTTTGTATGATGATTATGACCAGACAATCTGAAAAAAACTCACTGTTGTTTTCAAGAACCCATTGGGTAAAATGAAGATTAAAAACCAAATACTGTCTGCTTCTTACAGTGCATGCCCATTCCAGGCCAGGGGTTTCGACTTGGTCAGTACTGCTGCCGCTGTAAAGAGGGATACTACAACCCAGAGATCTTACCAGAGGACGCCGGTAAGTCACCCACCAACATCTGTCCACAGCAGGGTCAACAACCCTCTGCTGCCTCAGCTGTTTAGTCTTCCTCACAGCTCTGTTAAGGCTTAAAAGATTTTTTGAAATTAAATACCTAATTAATTAAATGTGGTTCTTCTCATGAAGACTTGAGTACAGTCGTGACTCGATAATCCGACACTAAATGTAAAACCTTCTGTTATGTCGGATAGCAAGGCTGTTGGATTGTCAAGACGGAGGTCCAGATACGAGGAGGGCTTGATGCTGGAAGGCTCATTAGTTGTTAATTATTGTTCATAGTTGTTATAATAACTAGTAGGGCTGGTCCCAATAGCACTTTCTGGTCTCTGGATATTTGGGCCCAATTAATGAATATTCGTATATTCTGCGCTTTCGGGAGACACTTGAACCCCCGAGGGAGCGCTCCGACGGGGTGGAAGTGGCCGGAACGCACAGGCAGTACTTGGCTGCTGATGCTAGTTCAGTTAGTGGTCTGATGGTGGTTTGATTGGAAATTAAATCAATCTTAAGTCTTAAGAACTCTCCCCAGGAAGATGAACCTACATTCACACCCAGCCACAAAAGACCCTAACGAACCCCTTTGTGGCGGGGGGAGCACTAACGACTCACATAACGAGGGGGAGGAGCAACAAACCCTCAGTTGAAACTCAGGTGTTCATGGCTCCTTTAGGATATCTGGAACTCCCAACTAGTCAGTCAGAGCTGATGAAGCCTCTTGGATGAGAGGTGGAACGTCTTCAAGGAACTCAAGCAAGTCCAGTTGCTACGACTAATCTATGAGAATAACCATGACCTGGATGACTGAGAATCTTGACAGACAAAACATACCCTGTTTTATTATCTGTTTTACTCTAAATGTGCAAAAGTAAATGTCATGCTGCACTCCAAAAATCCTTAATCAAGCAGTTGAGAAAACAAACACATTAGGAAATGTTTAGTGGCGCAACAAATCCAGTGAGAAGCCTCTCATAGAGTTCTGTACAATCAGACTTCTTTTTGCAACCACAGCAGTCGCCCCCTGCTGACCGTTAGAAAGAATGCAGGTTGAGACACTTTTTTGTGCTGGTGTCACTTTTCAAACCTAGAAGCTGGACACATTACATTTTGAAACTCTTAACACTAGTTTATTAAAGTCATTGCTGCACTGGATCCTTCACAGGCTTCCTGCCTACAAATATAGGGAGTTGGTTTATCGTAACTTGTAAGCCAACCGGGAATCATTGGATCCCTGCTGCCTGCCATTCAGAATCAATCTTTCAGAGACGTTATGATAACCCTCTTGTTTTCAGAAACCTCATATTGCTGACAGCACTGTGGGTTGTGGAGGTAACTTGAGGTCGTCTCATGGGTTTGTGTGAAGCCACGTGAAGATCGATGTATGTATGTATCTGTGTGGGATGCAGATGGAGGCCCTGTGAACAGGAGCGATGGCGGCGCTATGTGTTTCCCGAACATGCCCATCTGTCTCCCATGCTGGCCAGGCTGCAAGAGCTGTCAGGACGGCGCCCCCTGCTGGGTGCAGGAGGACTGGCTCCTTAGGACCGGCGTGCTGGCCGTCCAGGGGGTCTTCATGCTCCTCATCTTTGTCAGCATGCTGGTGGCCTACCGGCATCGTCGGAACCGGGTGAGTCAGGTCCTGTGGCTCTGCGTGGCCCCCCATATGGATGGAGTTTAGATGGAAGGACGACAGTAGGGCTGCTGCCAGCACCGAGCCATGATTTATTGTGTTAAGAATGATGCCGTGTTTATTTGGCAGAAATGTTCTTTTTTCATTACATAAGACTTTTAGTCAGAGTTCCACTATGAATCACAGATGTCACAGAACGGCAAAATCAATTTAGGTGGTTTCTTGTGAGAAAGAAGAAGCAGAAACTCATAGAAAGCTTAAAGAACACTCCTTTTCCAAGCTAGCCTTTGTTACATTACGGTCAGACGGATGATATGTTTTCACAGAGGGATAATTGAATTAGTCTTTCTAAACAGCACAAACATGATGCAGGATTTTCTTAAGTAATGGGATGTAACTAAGTACATTCACTGAAGCACTATACTTAAGTGCCAACCCTTTACTTGAGTACAGTCGTGACTCGATAATCCGACACTAAATGTAAAACCTTCTTTTATGTCGGATAATAAAGGCTGTTGCATTGTCAAGGATCATAATGTCAAGTCATGACTGTATATACAATTTACTCGACTTTATACTCGGGCTTCGCTACACTTCACAACCTTTCTAGCATTCCTGAAAAGAAAAAAACTCACAATAGTCACTCAAGTAACTGAAACTGAAAAAAAGCAATAATAAATAAAAATTTGTTCAATTATAATTTAGTGAAATAAGACGTTGCTTTTGAATTGTGGTTGAAAAGAATAATTAAAAAAAAAAAAAACTGTCCCGGACAATAGTATTTTACAGGTCCCATCATGCTTTTTTCCTTTGTTTTTCTGTTTAACCACAATTCAAAAGCAATGCCATGATGTTTATTACATTTTTATTTATGATTACTTTTGTCAATGTCAGCTTATTTCAGTGACAACTGTTTGTTTTCCTTCTTTAATGGGAGGGTATGAATAGTCTTGAGGACGACGGTATGCAGTATCTTAGTTGTTGTTGTTCTTCAATGGGCTATTTATGTTTAATGGACTATTGGGACATTGGTACTTAATCGAAGGATGTGTATACTTCCCAGAATACTGGTTTTCTAAACTCTGAGCAGATAACAGTGCTCATATCGTTAGCATCAAGCAACTATAGCTCAGATTATATTGTGTGTGCTTACAGCGACAGACTTGTGGTACTTGGAGGTTATAAAAAGTAATGAGAGTGCGGTGGGAATGTGGCCCTCCAATGTGAATATGTAGAATAGCATTTTTTTAAAAATATATATATGTTCTGGGGCTACAGCATCTCATACTTGTTGTTTTTCTCCACCTCCTCCTCCTCCTGCATCTTCAGAGGATCCGGGCGTCCGGCCTCCTGCTGCTGGAGACCATCCTGTTCGGCTCCCTGCTCCTCTACTTCCCGGTGAGTTTCTGAGCGAGCCGAGAGTGTTGCAGATTAGAGCTCTTTACAGATCACTGCACAGCACAGCGCCCGGGATTATATCATAATGGACGATTTGTGGACGGGTGAATGGGGTGAGGGCACGCCTGTGTGTGTGTAATGGGGTGGGTGGGAACAGAGCCGACAGTTTTCATAACGTCCTTCTGCTCCAGTCATAGATTATCAATCAATCTTTCGATTCATTTTACCAATTAAAGAGGCGTTAATGTGAGTCGGCCGTGATTTTTTATCCATCTGAAAGCGCCGGTCGATGTGAGCACGTGTCTGCAGAGTGATTCAATGCGCAAAGAGCTGCTGCTGCACATTATTGATCATTGATTTAGTTTAATGTGATGTGTTTGTGTGTGAGCATGCTCATGGGCTGCACACTGGTGGCAAACTGTCCAGTCATATAGCAAGTGATCAGCATCATCGAGGCATTAAATAGTTGTATATTTAGCAGGTGATAAGAACTGGAGGGAATATTCAGATCTTTTGCTGAAGAAAAGACCTTCACGGTTGCTAGTTGTATTGTTGTAGCTTTTAAAAACTAAAAATCAGAGGTAATAATGACACAAGTAGCGTTTGTGAAGCTACACTTTGAGGCATGGATTTGATATTGTAACTTGCTGAAAAAGGCATTTGAAGGCGACTTCTCAGACCAGCAGTAAGAACCCATCGACCTGTGGCTCCAGTCTATGATTAATGTTTACATACATCTCCCGATATGATGCAGCCGATAAAGTATTTCACGGTCAGATGCACCACTTAATCCATAATGTGCTTCTTGGTCCACGACTGGCTGTAGGCTGCTCCCCCGGGCGCTCATGGCACAGTCAATGAGTCGATTTTTATTTTTGTTCAAAATTACTGAAGCAACAACCAAAACGTGAGCGATTACTGGTTAAACTGAGAGACAGTTACCCATTTGTGAAGTGAATAAAAATTGGATGATTGATAAAGTTTCAAACTCAGTTTTTTTCTTGATATTTTTTGATGGTTCATCAAGTGAAGAGTTCATTTGCACAAACAGAGAACTCCATCTTCACAAACCTTCACAAAACCCACTTTTCCATCGTCTACCTGAGACAACATCAATAAGTTATCTCTATATTTGTTATTTCTATTGAGTCAAATCCACTCAGCTTCAGGTTGATTGATATCATCTCAAGCAAACAACAACAAAAAAAATATTCCTGAAAATCAACAAAAATGGAGTTATCTGTTTTTGCAAAATGAACTCTTCAAGTGCGACATGGATCTTGCCTTGAGAGAAAACAGGTGTTTGATTCAGGATTACCAGATTTCTTAGACTCATTTGCCTCCATTCAGTTACGAAATGCACAAAATGCATCTTTGTGTTTTTGAAATTCAGTGACATGTTTGTGCAGTTACTTTGGATAAAAGGCAACGAGGTGCAGATAAGATTTTGATCTGATTTCTACATTAAAATATGTGAAAATATGTCCTTTTGTATGACGCAGTATAAACATAAACTCTGAGCACACTGCAGGTGTTTAGGATCCAGATGTTTGGTGTGTAGCAAAATGCAGCGTGGCACAAAGGATTAGACAAGAATAAACAAATTCAAACTGTGCTGCAATTATGAAATGAAAGCTGTGAAGTCAGCTGTGTTGACGTAAAAACGCGACAGGTACGGAGGAGATGAGGTGAAACTTCTCGTCAGTTTGGAACCGCGGTGGAAGAGTTTTGTTTGGTAAAATTCAAAGGTGAACTGCAGCCCACGGAGCCGACTGTAGTTCTGAGAGTCTGAGATGAAAGGTCAGAGTTCACTCTCTCATCTCACCGGGGCGTCACCGGGCTGCTCTTTCTATTTCATCTACAAACAGATCACTTGCCAGACAGCATGTTCTTGACGGAACCACCAACACACCCAAGACCGGTTCTGTGCTGCTATGTTTCTCGTTGCTAGAGTTCAATTCACATCAACCGCATTCAGCTCCTCTCCCAAATCCACCTTATCCAACAAATGCACCAGCAAATGTTTATGTCAGGGGCATGCTAATAGGAAGAAACAGAAGCTGCATGTTTCCATCGTTGCACCTTGTCCGTGCTTACATTTAGTACGTCTCTTCAAGTTTTTATGCACACAACAGCATTTTAAAGCTACGGTTGGCAGGATTTCAAAATCTCCACAGTCACTGTTGTCTCCTCGAGCTTTCTGTCGACTGCAGTTTTACATTAGTATGATGAACTTACAGAAAACAAGTCCAGCAGTTTTGGAACAAATCTTGTGTTTTGGCCACTAGCAAATTTAAGTTCAGAAATCACACACTTTGAGTTCAGTTGTTGGTCTCTATCAACACCTTAGTAAACATCTGGCTGTTTTGCCGGTAAACGATCCACAAAGGCCCCTTTCAGCACTCCTTTCCGTTAATCTGATGGCATCTGTACACATCGGCTTAATGTCTGTAGCCGACAATCTCTTTAGGTTGGACCTAGTAGCAGGTCTTGACCAATCCTGTCTCCATGTTTAGAAATCTGCTGTTAGTTGGGGATCTTTTGTTTATTAGTAGCTCCTTAAACTTTGATGTGTGGCCTAATCTGGTCGCTGGTCGCCAGTTCGCATGCCGGTGAGGACACCTGGGATCTTTCTGCGTGGAGTTTGCATGTTCTCCCCATGCAGTGTGGGTTCTCTCCGGGTTCTCTGGCTTCCTCCCACACAGTCCAGAAACATGTTGAGGTTAATTGGTGATTCTAAATTGCCCGTAGGTGTGAATGTGAGTGTGCTTGGTTGTCTGTTGGCTGAAGCTTACGACATTGCCATTTATCTGGATTTATGAACTGTCCAAAATAAACAGAACTAAAGTCTCACTGGCAGGATGGAAAGTCAGAGGGTCTTATTACAAATCATCGGTAGGGGACTGTAAATGTCTGCACCAGGTTTCATGCCTCCACGTCCAGTATTTGTGGAGAGATTTCACTCAAAACCAAGTAACCAGCAGTCAGTGGCAGTGCTGTGGGGGTCATGAATGTCTGAGTCAGTGTAATTGGAAACTGCATCTGCTGGTTGAGCTGGAGAAAAGTCAGGGCATCACCAAAGGTAACCATCTCAGGGTTCCTTTTTAGGACATTAAAAGCTAAACTGACACCTAGTTTATTAATCAATCAGCTTTTTGAATTGCTAATATTGAGGAAGATGTGAGTCATATGAAAAGGTTGGATTAGAGCATACAAATGTCCTTATGTCCTGTATAAAGCCTTATTATTTGAACTGCAGAGATTAGTTCAGTTCAGAGCGAATAAAGGAGGTCACAGGAAGCACTATGCACCTCACCACTGGAATGAGCTGGCAAACCTGGAGAACTTCCTTTGGTTAAACGTTAAACGCTTTTAGTTTCACTGGTGTTACTGGCATTTCCTGCTCTGCTCACTTAATGAAGCTTTAGATCGACCAATCAGATTGCTCGCCCCTGCATCTATAACCTAGACCCCAATCTGCCTCTGAGTGCCCGCCATCTCTGCTGATTAAACCCACCGTCCTCCAGAGGTTTACTGCACGTCGTCTTTGATTCTCTACGTGTTCTCTCTGAGCAGTTTATCCTTTACGAGTGCTTTGAACACAATGTAAAGTTGCATTCACATTTTAGGCTTTAGCTGATGCTCTTATCCAGAGTGACTGACACTGACTGTCACAGCTGAATAGGCTTTAATTCCTGGATTACAGTCATCTACTCTACTGTTACGTACTGAACAGAGGTGAAGGTACAACCTGTTGTTGAACGTGATGTGCTGAAAACAAAATTGTGCATTAATGCTGACGAGACGTGCCGTTGGGTGTAAAATTAGAACGAGTAAAACAACGGCAGCGCTGCTTGTGATCGTAGTAAAAAGTACAGTAGTAGTACCAGGAGTGTTGATGAAGGAATTTAGATAATAACGAGTTAACTGATCAGTTTGAAGGAGTCAGAAACAATTGTAAAACTATTTTGTTCTGACAAACTTTGAGATGCATCTTTGGTTCCGATTCCTCTGTTTTCAACAAAGAGAAGCAGCAGATTGTGACTGATGTGCAGATGAATGTGTACAATATGGGGCAAAAAGCGCAATCAGTGAAAATTATATTCATCAGTTGTTTTTTTGTCAGTCACCTAATTGATGAATTATTTATGTTCTATTTTTTAAACTCTTTATTTTTATTGCTTCTTTTTGAAGAACATGTAGCAAATATGAACATACAGAAGGAAGACAAACAAACAAACAAACAAAAAAGCCTCGAAAGAACAAGAACAGTGGATTGCCGTGTCTCTACAATTTGCTCCCAAGTTGTTCTCGGTATAACTGTCCTCATGCTGTCGTCGTATAAACAGTCCACTTCTCCCAATTTTCTCGACACAGTTCTTGTTGAGTTCTTATCTTCTGGGTCAACAGTTCTATTATCTGTTTGTCACTCACAATGTTTTGCCCGTCCTGCTGTGTCGGCGGTTCTGCTTTGGACCATTTCCTTGCTGCTAACGTCATTTTCAGTAAATATCTGTCCTCTTTTAATACAGCATCACCCGACATGTTTCCCAGATACAGTAATACACATGACTTGGGTTTATTAAAGCCCAGAATTTGAATGATTATCTGATGAACAACCTCCCAGAAGTGCATGATTTTTGGAGAAAATCCATGAGAGTAGTTTACATTCATATTTCCACATTTTCTCCAGCATGGCCGTGGTACTGATGTGTGTTTATTCCTGGTTCTGGGTGTGACGAAGAATCTAATCAAGTTCAGCCAACCAAATAACCCATGATGCTGTGGATGACTGCTGTGTTCGCCAAATATGTCGCCATTGAATTATTTATGTTCTATTACTACATGTTGCACTACCTGTAACAACAGTATCACTACAACTGCTAGAACTGGTTCCTGAAACAGATCAGTGTCAGTAGTGCTAATAATAGTTCATGTTGTTGTGATGTGTAACTGGCTGCTACTGTAAATCTGTGGCCGATGCCCATACTGATCAGGTTTTTATGGAGTAAACAGTTCTGATACTAATTATTGGTCCAAAAGTCTGTATAAATACAGTATATACATAGAGTGTGTGTCCATGCAGCCCAGTGGAGTTATACTGAAAAGAGAAAATGATGGATTCATTGTGTATTAACTTTAATAAACTGGTTAGTAGCTGACTTGAAGACTCTGCACCACCCTCTGCTCAGTTGTGACACACACCCTGCAGACAATAGGAAACAATGGTGTTGGAGCCAGGAAGAGCCATGCAAGCACAACTGATGTTAGTTAGTTTATTGCTGGTATTAACATGGTAATAAACAAACATGCAGATAGTCATAGTAGCAGAGCTAGTATTAACTAGAACCAGTGTCAGTACCACATTTTTTTTCTGCTGTATATGCAGCTGAGATACAGAAACCGTTGTCCACACTGCTGCCGTGGTTTTAATCTCACGAAGTGTCTCTCTCTGTCTTTGCAGGTCTTCATTCTGTACTTCAAGCCGAGCACCTTCAGGTGTATTCTGCTCCGCTGGGTTCGAATGCTCGGTTTCTCCATCGTCTACGGCACGGTCACGCTGAAGATGTACAGGTGGGTTAGCGTCAATTGCAGGTAATGAAAACATACAGTCACTGAGCAACTTTCTGCAGCAGCTGTTTCCACTTGAGTTTACAGACCTCTGGTAACTGATGTCTCATGCTGACATGACAGAATGATGGTTAATGCACTGAAGTGAATACACTTTAGCATTATATAATGAACATTTCATTGGCATATATTCAGGATGAAAGCAGATGTCTGGTTGTGATGGTTTATGGTGGTTAAAGAAAACCTTCTGAGAGGTTGTAAATGCTTTTAAATGGCCTTACCATGCACACACAGTCCACGTAGTAGCACAAGACATATACACTTCTAATTTAACATACGTGTGTCTTTTAATGTGCTAAAATTCAAGCGCTTATCAATTGTTGAATTAAGCAAACTTTAGACGCTGGCATCCACTGAAGATAATGGTTAATGTCCATCCATCCATTATGTATACACCACTTAATCCTCCATCTGGTAGTGGGGGGCTGGAGTCAATCCCAGCTGACTCAGGGTGAAGACAGGTTCACCTGGACAGGTAACCAGTCTATCACAGGGCTACGCATAAAGACGGAAAACCAGGCTCACTCACATTTGTAATCACCAGTTAACGTCAGCATCTCTTTGGACCTTGTCTTTGTCTTTTTTGTCCTAATGGTTTGGTTTTGTGGGGCTGCAAGGTGGCTTGGTGGTTAGCATCATTGCCTCACAGCTAGAAGGTCGCCGGTTCGCGTCCCGGTGAGGACACCCGGGATCTTTCTGCGTGGAGTCTCCATGTTCTCCCCGTGCAGCGTGGGTTCTCTCCAGGGTTCTCCGGCTTCCTCCCACACAGTCCAGAAACATGCTGAGGTTACCCTAGTGAGGATTAAGCGGCGTATGGATGATGGATGGATGGTTTGGTTTTGGGCAGAAAATTAAATCTGGCAACATTGACTGTGGAACAGATAACTGAGTGTGAGATTTATCTGACATTCACAGATGTACACTTTTCACATTGTGTCATCAGCAGTCCAACACTGACCGACTCTCGCCTCTGAACAGGGTTCTGAAGGTGTTCCTCTCGCGCACGGCTCAGAGAGTGCCCTACATGTCCAGCCTCCACTTGCTGAGGATTCTGGGAGTGATGCTGATGACAGTCAGCTGGTTTTTGTGTGCGTGGACGGTGGGTGTCCTGCAGAACCGCGACAGGAACATTCCGGTGTTCGTCACCACCACCACGACGGACGGACAGGGCTTCAACCTGTGTTACCTGGACCGCTGGGACTACATGATGGCCGTGGGTGAGTTGCAGCAGACAGACATCATAAGGAAACATCTTTCTCACTTCTCACTTCAAAATGCTGGGTTTTTTTTTACATGTGCAGTTTTTTGGTGTTAAAAGTGACAAAAAGGAAGGGTAACACCATTTTTAAAAACACAAAATATGTAGTAATTCTCGTAGATTAATCGTAGCAACTGGACTTGCTTGAGTTCCTTGAAGACGTTCCACCTCTCATCCAAGAGTCTTCATCAGTTCTGACTGACTGGTTGGGAGTTCCACATACTGATATCCTTAAGGAGTCATTAACACCTGAGTTTTGGTTTCAACTGGGGGTTTGTTGTGAGTCGTTAGTGCTCCCCCTGCCACAGTGGGGTTCGTTAGGGTCTTTGTGGCTAGGTGTGGATGTGGGTTCATCTTCCTGGGGAGAGATCTTAGGACTGAATTGTGAACAAGTGAGAGGTGCTGCCTCAGACCTCCACCCCTGTTGAGTGATGTTTTTTCCAGTTTGACATAGATGGCTTCTTTCACCCCTCTCTCAAACCATCTGTCCTCTGTCATCTGAGGATCTGCCATCTGTCCTCAGATGACAGAGGACAGATGGTTTGAGAGAGGGGTGAAAGAAGCCATCTAAGGAGCAACAAACCCCCAATTGAAACTCAGGTGTTAATTGGCTCCTTAAGGATATCAGTATGTGGAACTCCCAACTAGTCAGTCAGAACTGATGAAGCTTCTTGGATGAGAGGTGGAACGTCTTCAAGGAACTCAAGCAAGTCCAGTTGCTGCGATTAATCTATGAGAATAACCATGACCTGGATGACTGAGAATCTTCACAGACAATATACAGTAATTGCACATATTGTGATCGCCAAGAACTCTCATAAGGATTCTATCAAACCTCTTAGTGCACTTAAACCAACTCAATCTATTCATGTTTTCTATTACAACTAGTGCTCATGGAAGTATTAAGCTAAAACCAGTATCACCTGTCATGAACCTGTATTGTCAACACGGAAAAATTTGGATAGAAACTTCGAGGGATAATTCCTGTTTATTACAAGTCCAATTTTGATACTTAAGACCATCGTTTCCCTCAGTAATTCCAGTGTGTGCATGCCAAAGTAATGCTGACGTTACTTTAGAAAACAACATTGCTACAATAGTCAGTCGGATCATCTAGATGACTTCATTTGGAGGTAAAAAGCTAAAGTGAGTATGGTGAAATGGTAAATGGTCTGCTCTTGTATAGTGCTTTTACCCAAAGCGCTTTACAATGCGTTTCTCATTCACCCATTCACACACACATTCATATACCAATGGTGACAGAGCTGCCATGCAAGGTGCTGTCTGCCATTGGGAGCAACTTCAGGTTCAGTGTCTTGCCCAAGGACACTTCGACTGTGGAGGGGGCGGGGGATCGAACCGCCAACCTTGCAATTGGAGGACAACCCACTCTACCACCTGAGCCAGTATACCTAAAGTGACTGCATCCTTATTTTTTGTGCCACAGCGGAGCTTCTGTTCCTGTGCTGGGGCAGTTCCTTGTGGACCGCCGTCAGGCCGGTCCCCTCAGCCTTCCATGAACCTCGCTACATGGGCATCGCCATCCACAACGAGCTGCTTCTCTCCTCCATGTTCCACTTGTTCCGGTAAACAGCGAGCAAGACTAATACGTCTGAACCTCAATCACATTTACTTGAGCGACGCCTTCAGTCGTGTAATCGTGTATCGTACTCTGCTGTACAAACACACTGGTTTTGTTGGTTCTGCCTCCCTCAGGTTCACATTTCCGTCTCTCCACCCTGATTGGATGCTGCTGCTCTCCTTCATGCACACCCATGTCACCATCACCGTGACTCTTGCCCTGCTCTTCATTCCCAAGGTATTCAGTGTGTTTCATGTCACAGTGCCAAAGTAAACCTATGTCGCAGTAAAATTAGTAGAAAAAAAGGTCATCATGTAACTAATCTGAAATGGATGTCCCTACTCTTTACACTTTTTATTGGCCATGCTCCAGGTTTATTTAAATTTACATAAATGTGCAAATAATCTAATGAGTACTCACAGCCGCCATTTTTTTAGTCCTGCAGTTATTATTACATATAATGAAGTACTGGGACAAAATGAATTGATCTTGGCTAAGTGGAAAGGAAGTAAATGGAAAGAAAAACTGATGCAGCTTTCCTGTCAAAGCAATGATTTCTATAAAAGCGTCATTGTATGTTCTGTCTTTCATAATTTCTACTGTGTCGAAGGCAGCCATATGCCTCGACTGCTGTGGCTGAGGGTAACAGGGACTACATTTATTTGACAGCTTTAGCTACTTTTAAGATAAAGAATTTTACACAGTGGATACCAAGTGTTTAAAATACAACATGTAGTGTATAATTGGACTCATCTTTCAGATGTCTTTGAGTTGTTAACAGAAAGAGAAATTTAAGTATTGCACTAGGCACCTATTCCAACCACTTAATTAAATATATAAAAAATATTGCTGTTGGAAATTGTTTGAAATTGCATCAACTGGATATTGTGTGTAATTTAATTTAAAACTAAATTAAATTTGAGATAACTTAATTAAATTGGCTTGAAAACTTGATTTTTTCTTTCACCTTGAGTTCAGGATTTCGGATCCCCTCCTCTATTTTAACGTGCCTGGATAATTTCAGATGCTAAGGACTGGTCATTAAAAACACTTTTGATTGTAGAAGGAAAGTTAATTCTCCTAACTCAGTGTAGCTTGTTGGTTGGATATAGTTTCATGGAAGGTTGTCATAACTCAAAAAAGGAATAGCAAATTGCTGTTTTCATTTTTTGTTGTTAAGCCCAAACATTATGTTTCGTGCGGTCCGAGAGCCCAGCAGATCAACCGACCCCCGCACACAAAATAAACACTGTGCATGAACTGTTGTCATATGTGAAGCACTTGCATGTGACCTGTACTCACTCATTACTCATACACATGCATGTATATGTTCCACAGTTCCTCTATGTGTCTAAGCCTGGAAGAGAGGAGATTGCAGCAGAAGTTTATGAAGATGAAGTGGATCTGCGGCGCTCTGGATCGTACCTCAACAGCAGTTTTCACTCCGCTTGGAGTGAGCACAGTGTGGACCCAGATGACTTTCGGGTAAACTCTCTTGCCCCCTCAGAACGATGTTATCACTTTGCACTGGGACATGATTTACAGAATCTGGAGGAAATTCCAAAGGTCACATTTAAACGAGAAAAATAAATGTCCCTTAATTTTAGTCATGATTACATATAGACACGCTTAAAAAAAATCTTAAATGCATTATAATTTAAATCATAAATTAATAGTAAATACTGACCATCAACATTAGATTGAACATATGTTGTATGACCTTTCTCCACCCTTTATCCTTTCATATCCCAAACTGTTCTTCTTACATGAAACTTTTTTTTTTACCTTACCTCTGACTTGTTGCTCTCCTTGTCTTTTCCTCTCCTCCATCATTTCAACCATCTCGTCAATCCCATCATCAATTCCCTCCCTTCTTCATATGTACCAGGATGAACTGAAGAAGTTATATGCCCAGTTAGAAGTCCACAAGACAAAGAAGATGACTGCAAACAACCCTCATCTCTCAAAGAAGCGAAGTTCTCGATGTGCGCTGGGGAGATCCATTATTAAACGCATTGCTGAAATCCCAGAAACCATGAGTCGCCAGTGCAGTCGTGAGGAGAAAGATGGATCCTTCCACAGCAGAAGTGGTCTTCATTCTGACTCTTTCAGGAGGACCCCAGATAGTGTCAGTATCAGTTACAGAAGTTCAATGAAATCACCATCACCATCACCATCACCATCCATCCGCAAGTCCCAAAGTGATTATCACTATGTCAGGGAAAGAGAGTCTTCCTTGCGCGACTCCATGCTAAAGGCCAATTCTGTGAAGAGATCCTCCCAGCGATCTGAGACAGACTCCTTGGATATTCCAGCTGGAGTCTGTAAGTCAGCTAGTGCCCAGAATCTGACAATTGATACCAATCTTCTGCATCCTGATCACACCAGGCTTCATAAATCTTGGAGCCTAACCTCGACTACCGCCCATTCCATGGAGAACATACCCAAGGTTTCCAGAGCTAGCACAGTGCGGTCAAGGCAGAGCCTCTCCATAGGTGACCAGACCAGGAGTGCTCTCCAGTCAGAATCATTTGACAAGGCCGAGGTCTGTCCTTGGGAAGTAGAGCAAGAACAATCAGGCGACAAGAACCAGAAGCATGTCACATACGCAAACTCTGACGATGATGAAGTCAAAGAGCCAGCATCCCCACAGGCACTTGTCTGTCCCTGGGACCATGCACCACCTGTCGAAAAGACCCCTTCTGTGGACAAGGGAGTACAAGGTGAAAATGAGTCACCAAAACCTCAGAGTCCCGTGTCTGCAAGTGCACCAGGCTCTCCTAGACCAAAGATCACAAAGGATCAGCGTGTCTTCTCCTTCCGTACCACCACCACTAAGTGGCTCTCTGTGAAATCATTCATGGGATCCATGGATGCAGCTAGCAAGTCCAGTAAGGATGGTAACTTAAATAAAGATGATTCTGTTTCACAAAAAAGCCAGGAAAGCGCTTCCACAACACCAAGGTCAGGAACATCAAGTAGACGTCCAAGTGTGGAAAAGAGGTCACTACAGAAGAGAAGTATGACAACAGGAGACGGAAAGCCGTCCCTTGTGAAGCAGAATGCAATCAGACTGTCCTCTGGGGATTCCTCTGACAGAAGCCCACGGAGGCTTGTCATCGTAAAATCTGCCATCTACCCATGTGAAGTGGATGACATGCAAAAAGATGGCACCTACGAAAATGTGTTTTTATCAAGGCAGAACAGCAAATGTAGTAGCATAGGTTCTTGGGAGACTTCCAGCAGCTCCAGAACTCCTTCGACCCATAGAAGAGGTAGTAATCGAATTACACCAGCTCGCAATGTTTCTGCCTCAGATGTGTGTCCATGGGATGGAGCCGCTTCTTTACAGCAAGGAGGGGGACCAAAGAAGCAGCAGAGCATTAAAGCAGATGTCTGTCCTTGGGAATCACAGGTACCTGAACGACCTAATGTATGCCCATGGGAATCTCAAGAACAAGGGACTGTGAGAAGACAAGAAAGCGGTCGTGGTGCAGTGTGTCCTTGGGAATCACAGGATATTCCTGTTAGTTCTAATACTACCCTGGCCAAAGATTCACAGACTCAACAATCTTTGAAACGTGTAGCAGATGTATGTCCCTGGGAAACTGCAGAAACTCCCCAAACTTCAGTAAGACAGGATAATGAATATGCTAACGTTTGCCCCTGGGATGTTCAGGACAAAGTGGAAGTTGTATATGAAAACCTAAATCCTCTGCAACACAAGGGACAAGGGACTCTGTCGGTGCCCTTTCAACAAGAAGTTATGAAAGCTGCCATCTATCCTGGTGCATCAAAAGAAATGTTAAGTGATCAGCATCAATTCCAAGCAATGTCACCTGCCCTTACTTGGGGTAAACAAGTCACTAAAACAGCAGAAAGTTGTCCATGGGAGTTTCCTGACCCTCCAAAAATCCTGGAAGATCTTTGCCTATCTGAAGAAGGAAGCATTGAGCAAACAAATACAGAGTCAACTTCACAAATGACAATCAAGGTTGATATTTGTCCCTGGGAGGGTGAACCACAGGATAAACCAGAAGACTCAGAAAAAGGTTCCACAACCTTGAAAGGTGCTGGCATACAAACTGAAGGGAAAGACAACACAAAAGTAAACATATGCCCTTGGGAAACTGAGATTCCTGAAAAAACTGCAGCTAATAAAACAGTATCACAAGAACTAAAAAGACCAGCTGATGTTTGCCCATGGGAAACTGAAGAACCTGCAACACCACAGACCCCCAAAACATCAGAGAGTCACATAAGACAAGACACGGCTCGGACAAATGTGTGTCCTTGGGAGACAGAGGAAACAGGAACAGTCAAAACTGAAGCATCAAAACCATCAGAGAAGCTGCAAAGACAGAACAATTCCCGGGAAGATGTTTGTCCATGGGACACGGAAGCCCCAAAAGTTCTACAAAAGCAAGACAGTGCTCGGGCAGATGTTTGTCCATGGGACACAGAAGCCCCAAAAGTTCTACAAAAGCAAGATAGTGCTCGGGCAAATGTTTGTCCATGGGACACAGAAGCCCCAAAAGTCCTACAAAAGCAAGACAGTGCTCGGGCAGATGTTTGTCCATGGGAGACAGAAGCCCCAAAAGTTCTACAAAAGCAAGATAGTCCTCGGGCAGAAGTTTGTCCATGGGACTCGGAAGCTCCAAAAGTTCTACAAAAGCAAGACAGTGCTCGGGCAGAAGTCTGTCCATGGGACTCGGAAGCCCCGAAAGTTCTACAAAAGCAAGACAGTGCACGGGCAGATGTTTGTCCATGGGAGACAGAAGAACCAAAAGTTCTTAAAAAGCAAGACAGCACTCTGGCAGATGTTTGCCCATGGGAAACAAAAGACAATAAAGTTCTGACAAAGCAAGACAGTCCTCGGGCAGACGTTTGTCCATGGGAGACAGAAGAACCAAAAATTCTGAAAAAGCAAGATAGTGCTCGGACAAATCTTTGCCCCTGGGAGACAGACGACCCAAAAATTCTCCAAGAGCAAGACAGTGCTCGGGCAAATGTTTGTCCCTGGGAGACAGAAGACCCAAAAATTCTCAAAGAGCAAGATAGTGCTCGGGCAGATGTTTGTCCATGGGATAGCAAAGAATTGGTCGAAAAGCAAGACGATGCTGGAGCAGATGGAGACAAAGACAAAGCCGATACTCCCACTAACAAAGATGTCATAGAAAATCAAGGATTTGAAGAATCAAGGCTCATGTCTGCTGAAGAGACTCCAGCAGACATGAGCATGGAGCAGACAGATGAGTCTAAAGCAAACTTAGCCCTAGGCCGACGTGATGCTTTGTGTCCTTGGGAGATGGTAAGGAGCAGATCTGGCTCATTTACAGACAATGCCTCAGACGTCTTTACATGGGAACCTGAGAATATTCCAGAAGAAGATGAAGAGGACGATGCAGAGTGTGCTGCTGAGGCTCTTGTATTCCCACCTGACTTGTGAGCTAAACCTAGCCAGCATTCACTTTTGGCTCCTCCTTTTAGGTCAAGGGGATTGTGAACACTTTTAAGACCATTCTGGTGGTATCCCAATGGTGGTTAAAGGGGAATTGTTTAATCATTTTCCAAGCTACAAATGGAGTGCAGGCTCAGCTACAGAATAGCTTCCCTGCAGCTGGGAAAGACGAAAGCCCTTTCTGATGAACAATTACTAAAAATTAATAAAAGACAAAACTTAAGGCTGTGTTACTTCAAGTTTGTCTATCCAGTTGGACCAGGCTCCTATCCAACGATGAGGCAAGTTTTAGAAGGGTGATGAGTTGGGCACTATAGGTTGTGCAAAACTGACAAAATAATGTCATTTTTTAGTGAAGCACATATAACACTTATGTCGATCATTGGTCCACAAATGAACAATAGACATAATTTAATGATGGAAAAGCGTCAAAGGCAATTGGATGAGGTCCCATTTCTTCCTGCTTCCATACCCCCATTTTAAATTTTGTGTCTTTGTATGTTTTTAGGTGATAACTCACATATTTGCCATGTACTCAGAATATGCTGGACTCATGGCTTAGGTGAATAGCCCACAAGATCTAACAAATTCACAAATGCAAAGGTAACACAGGGACTCTAAAGATGGAACTCTAATCCTGAACAGCTTACACGAGATGAATGAATTTTAACTCTATTTTTTTTCTTCCAATTATTACATATTCAAAGTAAAAGAAAGTGTCAAATAGTGCAACTGGGATTACAATGGATGTCAAGGTACATTTCAAAAGTATTGATGAAACTATGCATACCTGTTTGCTTACTGACTAATTTCTCGACAAAATGCCAGTGTTAATATGTTTTCACTTTTTATGCACTCATGATAACGGGAAACATAACCATCTCCCACTTCAACAATTTAGAGAAAAAAAAGAAATGCCAAAAAATTGCAAGGATTACCATTAACCAACAACACAAGAATTTTGCCCCTAAAGTGGAGTAAAAAATGCATAATCCTTTTAATGTCCGAGTTTCTAAAATAATACCAGAGCTTTTTATGTGGATGGAGTACACCGGACACCACAAAGTTAACATCAGAAACAGTCAAAATGTTTGATGAATGGACAGAACATTCAAATTGATGGACATTAGTTCATAAGGTTGATTACTCGGTTAATTGAAAGACTCTTTATATGGCCAATATTATCCTCACCACAGGAGAAAAGTCATGGTGTTCACATATTATCAGTCTCTGTATGGGAACTAAATTATAAGAGGTCCTTCTGCATTAAAACCTTCACAGGAATCCTGGGAAATTCTGAGATTTTTATTTTTTTTAATCTTTGACTACTTACAGGTCAATCAGTAATATCTTCTATCATTACTAGCTAATGATTTATATCAAAAAAGGCCCCATATTTTTGTGTCCAATACTTGAAAATATTATTTGAAACAATATTTAAATTCTAAATAAAGTTCTGAAACATTAATCAGAAGTTTCAGGTAAAGTTGAATCCAACTTTTTAAAAGCTTGCAAAGGTTTTACCCTATCAACAGTTTTCTGTAGTGGTGCAATTCATTCACATCTAAGCCAGCAATTAGTCGGTGAAACTGTGATGATTATTTGCATTTCAGCTGCTGCAGCATCAGTTTGTTTCATTCAGTGACTTCATGGTTGAACATTGCCCAGGCTTTTTTCTTTTTTTTGTTGACGGAGTGACCTAGTTTTGTAAGCGTTGTTGCATGTTTGTGTTTTTGAATGAGCGTGATGTAAATTGTTGTCCTGTTTAAAAAAAAAAGAAAAAGAAAAAAAAAATCTAATGTTGTAACACGTCCCTTGGTTTGCACCAACGTGCTGGTGGAAAAAAAACAAAACAAAAAAAAGCAGGTGGAACACTTATTTTTGTATTTCCTGAGGTCAACATGCAGTATACTCATCACAGAAATAAACCATTCAGTTTCTGGTGATCTGTACATTTTATTTCTTGCTTGTACACATTACATGAAGAAAACATAAAAATGTGCGACACACAACTGCAGTCATGAAAGGCGCCGTTATTATTCCAGACTGTTGTTTGACTTCCTGTCGAGAAACGAGCAGCTTCATTGGCTCCAGGATGCAGCGGTTTGCTCATCTTTAAACTCACCTGCTGCTTCTAGTGTCTTAACAGCCAAAATCCTTTTTCAAACAGTAAGAAGCCCAGTTTCCTGCCAAAGTGGACAAACTGTAACAAGCCACAGCCAAATGTTTAACAGCATTTGGCCCTTGACTGCTGATAATGTGCACTGAGGTTTGATGAAAAGAGCAGCGCCACCCGGTGGCCTATTTATTCCACTGAACTGCCGCTGGTTTGGGAACTTGATAGTTGAGGGCGTCAAATTCTTCCCCTGGTTTCAGCTCTGGACCAGGGATGATGACCGTCTGGAAGAGAGAGAGAGGAGTGGATGTGAATTTAAATTTCGTTGAAACAAATATAATCTGCACATAATTACAGAATATATGCAGAACACATCTCAAGCGCAGTCTATTCACAGCCTTCCATTAAAGAAAAGACAAATTTCACAACAGTTGCTCAAATAACTAGAAACTGAAAAAAGTAATAATAAATAAAAATTTGTTAAATTATAATTTAGTGAAATAAGACGTTGCTTTTGAATTGTGGTTGAAAAGAATAATTTAAAAAAACAAAAAAAAACTGTCCTGGACCAATGAGAGTCCTTTGCTGATGAGCAGTGGTCCAGAACACCTGTCAACAGGTGCAGAAGTCTGACTGAGAGTTACAGGAAACACCTGATGGCAGTGATTGGCTCAGAGGGTTGTTCAGCTACATATTAGTTCACGGATCCCATCAGGCTGGTTTGCTTATGTTTTTTGTTTTTTGTTTTTTCTTTAATGGGAGGATATGAAAACATTGGAGGACGACTGTACATTTCCCGTGTGTTCTTGTTCAATGCAAAGCGAGAGGTTTCAGTGTTTAGTAGCTGACTATCATAAAGTCTGTATGATAAGGAAGGATGAGGGACGATTCGCCACCAATTTCATATTTGTTTGACAGCATGGCTCACACATTTTGCAGAGCTCAGATGGCGATGGTTGGATTTCAGCAGAGAGGAGTAAGAAACACCTTCCAGGCATCATTACTGCTCCATCTGTCAGGAATATCTGAGACACAGCAGGAGCTGACTCACAGATTTAAGGTGATTACGTTCTATGTTTTTGCAGTGATGCGTACAGTGCAAGCCATCTTCTGTTCCAGTCCAGCTTCGTGAAGACTGGTGCAGAGGGTGAACACGTTCTCTCAGGTGATCTGAATTTTACGGGGATTTGTTTCTGAACTTATTTGCATGGAGGCAACTAAAATAGTTTTGCAGATCAGATGATGTGAATTCCAAGCAACACATTCACTCCACAACTGCACTCAAGCACAGTACAGCTGCAGGAACAGTTGATTGGCAGATTGCTTTTAATGTTGTGGATTGAATATATGTCGCTACAAGATCCTTGTGAGTCCAGTGGGAAACACATCTCCCTCTTATCAAGTCTTTGGAGTCTGGAATTTAGGATTTTTTTTTGTATTATCATTTCTTTAAAAAAAGGGCACATTTCAAACTGTTTTGGTGCCAAATTCCACTTTTTTTTCTTACACAGCAGCCCAGTAGAGATGCTGATTTCCAAACTAAACTAAATTAGAAAGATGGTGAAATATTCTCACTGCACTGCAAAAAGGTTCATACAGGAATGTGTTTGTAAGACTGGAAACCAACAAGCTGCATCGGCATTAATAATCCTACATGAATAGAAAAGTCACTGATCTGCAGAATGAACACTTTTTTTTGTGTTGATACTTTAAATAGATATTTCTACATTTACTGAAGCAGTAAATGATCTGCACATTTCTTCCACCGCAGCCGAGCAGCAGTTACATGTGAATCACAACATCACATTCCTGTATGTCCAATTGATTCAGATTTGATGGAGACATGCTCGTTAATTGAAGTAAATGCTGCTGTTCAGCCCTGTAGGAGTCCCCTAAATCCCTCCAGAGCTCAGTGATCAGTAAAACGCAGCCAGAGTGTTTTAAAAGAGCCATTCACCCACATTATGAGAAAAAAAAAATTCTCTTTTATCTCTAGTTGCAACGAGTATGTGGACAGGGTTGGCTGTACTTCTGCCTCCACCCCAACACAGCAACATGAACGGAGTTTAGGTTTGTGGTGTTCAGGGTATCATAAAATGATCATCAATTCTGCCTTGACTTTGGATGACCTCACTGTTATGTTCTATGGAAATTAAAAATATTAATATTCATAATTAAAAACGCCTCTACAGTGAGGTCTGTTGGTCATCCAAAGTAAGAGTTTGGAAGTTGTCTCCAAACCTGGACAAGACAAACAGAATAAACAAAAGTCTACACAGAAGAAGTACATCTGAATCATGTTTTTGTGAACTGCTGTGATTTAAGTGCAAAGACAACCGGTTTTCTATGTGAGCTGTCTTTCTCGTAGGTCAGCTCCATGGCAATGTTATCAAATAATTAACTCCATAAAGCACACTGACCTTAGCTTTCTAAATTTTGTCCAACATATTTTGATTTGTATGACAGATTGACTGCACCATACATTCCTAGTCTCAGTAGTTGCTCATTTTCTGAGCTATGGTGAAAATCCATTTTTATCACGTTTTGTGTGTTTAATACATTTGGAGGGATTAAACAAAAAAGCTCTGAAAGTTTGAGGATGTTTACCGTTGCCTTCCCCTCGCTGCCCAGCTTTACAAACCAGTAGGTTTCTACGTGGAAACTGGGTCATCAAGAGCTGCTGAGCTCAGTCATTTGCATCGTCCTGCCCCCTCTGAGGCGAGCCATTCACAATGAGCATCTCCCTCAAGTACAGTTCCTTTCTAGAGCAGCACCTACTAATTCTAAAATGTCTCAGCCACAAGTGAAGCGCACCAAATGTTCTGCTGTTGGCTGTGAGAGTGAACACAAATGTCTTTAGGCACTCCCAGCA